GGTCTCAGAAGGACCTGGGAGTGGGATAGGGCAGGTTAAAGGAGCCACAATTATGGAACTACAAATAACTGTGCCCACAGTGTGGGTGGCCTGAGTGTCACCACAGCTTTCTAAGGGCTTTGGATTTCATCATTCCCCTTGCCTTGCCTAGCCAACTCCTTTTATTAATTCCCCCTCCCCCGCCCCCAGACAGAGTGTTACTTTGTTACCCTCTGTAGAGTGCTGGAGCCTCCTAGTTCATGGCAACCTCAGATTTTGGGCTCAACTGATCCTCTTGCTTCAGCCTCCAGAGAAGCTGGGACTACAGGTGCCCACCACAACACACAGCAATTTTTTTAGAGATAGTGTCTTGCTCTTGGTCAGGCTGGTCTCCAACTCATGAGATCAAGCAATCCACCTGCCTCACCCTCCCAGAGTACTAGAATTACAGGCATGAGCCACCACACCCAGCCCCCTTTTATTCATCTTTTAGATCTCAGCCTGGATATCAACTCTTCCAAGAGCCTTTCTTGATGGCCAAATGTGGGTCAGACACCCCATCTATGGGCTATGGGCCAAATGCAGGTCAGACACCCCATCCTACTTGTAGATCGCACAGTAATTATTCATCAATCTTCCCCATTGGACTATAAGCTCCACAAGGCAGGGATATGTCTCTCTGGTTCACTGTTAAATCCCCTGTGCCTAGCCAGAGCTTGGCAAAGAGCAGGGGCTCTTAATAAAAGTAATTATTGATCAACCTGCTGATTGGAGGGAACAGTGAGACATCGAGGTTCTTAGCAAGGCCTCGTCTAACTAGAGGTAAAAAGGAGAGCCAGTGACCAGACAATGGCAGTGGCCAGGGTGAAAATGCTGCAGACATGAGCTAAACTAGGCATAATGGGATGGGAAAGAGGAAACAGGTTGAAGCAGTGGACAAAGTCAACATTAACTCCTAACAGCCTGGTTTGGGGGATGATTATGAATTAAGCCACATCAGAGATATGGGTTACCCAGGTGCCGCCACCAAGCTTTTCTTCCTCCCAGACAACATGCCTGTGTTCTCAATATTCCCGATTATTTTTCTCTGGCTCCTGATGAGCTCCAATGGGGTAACCTCATTGTCCCTCCCTGTGGCTGTCCTTAGCAATAGCAGATTAAAAGAACAAGGACAGAGAGATGAAAAGTGGTCCTCCCTCTCCCCAGCATTCCTCCTATTCTATCTCACTTCACTCATATCAGCCCTTCCCAATCACTGCCACCAAGTTAAGATCAAATGAGACTCAATCTCAAAAAAAAAAAAAGATATAGTCTGCCTGCTATGTCTTAGGCATGGTATGACGTCTCTTTACACCTATCCCAATTCTGTGAGGTTGTTGTCATTGTCCCTATTTTATTTTATGTTATTTTATTTTTTTCGAGAGAGTCTGACTCAGTCATCCAGGCAGAGTGCCTGGTGAGCATGGGCCTAGCTCACAGTAACCTCAAACTCCTGGGCTCAAGTGACCTTCCTGCCTCAGCCTCTCAAGTTGCTGGGATTACAGGCGCCCACCACAATGCCAGCTAATTTTTTCTATTTTGAGTAGAGATGAGGGGGTCTTACTGCATAGCTCAGGCTGGTCCCAAACTCCTGAGCTCACGGGATCCTCCTGCCCTGGTTTTCCAGAGTGCTAAGATTATAGGCATGAGCTACTGTGCCCTGACCCCATTATCCTCATTTTAGAGGCAAGAAAAATGAAGCTCTGGGGCAGCGCCTGTGGCTCAGTGAGTAGGATCCGGTCCCATATACCAAGGGTGGTGGGTTTGAACCCAGCCCAGCCCGGGCCAAAGTGCAACAGAAAATTGCTGGGCGTTGTGGCAGGAGCCTGTAGTCCCAGCTACTCAGGAGGCTGAGGCAAGAGAATCGCCTAAACCCAGGAGTTGAAGGTTTCTGTGAGCTGTGATGCCTCAGCATTCTACCAAGGGCGACAAAGTGAGACTGTCTCTAAAAAAAAAAAAA